TAGTGGCGTAGAACCATAGTGGCGTGGTAGCATAGTAGCATAGCGTATTATTTTGTCCATGAACAAGAATTTCTCACGACTCAAAACAAGGAGTCTCCTATAAGCTCCGTGCTAGTAGCGTATGTACTATATAATCACCCTATTTCCTCTCGCGGCTGGAATTTATTGTTTTGTATTCTAGTGGGAGCTGAATTCCCTTAAAATGAAAGGGGTCTATTTATACAAGGCGGTAGTTCCAAGTGGCCAAGGAAACTATTGTGATGTCGGCGCTTTCCTGGCCTTCGGCCTCAAGGACGGCGCTTCGCGCCGTATATAAACTACAAAAACGAGTAAATCCAGCCTCTGGTTCCCAGGGTACGGCCTTAGCTTCCATTATCCGATATAAACACTTGAGGCAGCACTGAATCTTGATGTATTTAATTCTCATCTTTGTGCATTTTCATTGAAATGAACGTGAGAAAAATCAGTAATATCAATAAATTATTGAAGACACAAATCGATTAAACAGACCTCCACCCTTAATGTGCCGCTTTATGAAAAGACTTGTTCGGGATACCTGTGGCATTCTACTTGAGCCTGCAGTGCACGTCCGCTGAATTACGCGCGTGTTTTGACAAAATGGATGCCGAAAGAGAGTCAAAAAGACTSTGTGTTGAAAAAATTGAATGCCAAAAAGCCTTAGACGACTYAATCTCTGAACAAGATGACGACCGAGAGTTTAAAGACATCAAAATGGATGAAGGAGACAGCGATAATGACTCCGTCGTTAGCAGTTCTAACTCGACAAGCTCAACGACAACCTCGTCAACGATGAAAAGAAACTTTGCACGCGGAAAGCGAAGAAAGAAGAAGAAGGCAGTTGCGTTTAGATGCTCGAATTTTCTGAAGGTAGTAGCATTTATCAAGCTAACTTACATCAATCTACTAGCAATTAGTCTATAGGAACAATTTTATAAGTTTATCGATTGCACATGTACATGTAGTTTTCATTCAGACGCTCTTTTAGAGCGCTCATAAGCGTCCCAGTGAAAGATTTACTTGTTAAACTTTATTTACCGTACTTTTATGGAACTCTAGTCTGGGCAATTGTACATAATGTATTTTGATCTGAAAGAGAATGTTGCAATTTATGTCTGATAATCATTAGTACAAGAATATCATTAAGAGGTTAACTCATTAAGTCAATGTCCAATCATCATTAATCAAACAACAGCATCATCAATAAATTTAGGTTGCAGAAGTGAAGTTGGATAGAGAGTAAAATTGAGAATAAGCCTTTTTCCAGTTCAATTCAAGCAACCGCTGTTTTAGTAGACAGCAGACTCACTTGCGTAGAGAACAAAAGAAAGCATGATAAAATGCTGACATTACAAAAGCTCTGGAAATTTGAATCTTTTCCGATTTGAGGCTTAGCCTGTATTCCTACAAGACCTTGAGTTTGAGCCGTCTGGGAATACATGCTTTATAGTGCTATCGTAATGACTGTAACATGTAAATTTCATGCTTTCTTTTGTTTTTGGTAAGGGTCTCTGCGCATGAGAGACTGTTGTCGACTAAATCAGCGGTTGTTCGCTTTGAATACGAAAAAGGGGTATTGCATAATTTTTAAAAGCTTTATTTAAATAAAGGAGCACAATAGCACATTGTTGTGAGCAACGATTTGCAAATAAAGGCCAAATTGTAGCTTAATATTAAATATAGTTCACTGTACTATCAAGGAGGACCACAAGCAGCCATTATTTTCAGTGCAATTCAACTATTTTGTGAAAGATGAAGAATCTGATTCTCATATTTTTGCAACAGCTGGAAGTAACAGGGTAAGAGATTATTTCTTTGTCTTTTTTAATATACAATACCATTTAAAAATGGTACATGTTGTTTAAAGGATGAGAGGTCATGCTTTATCAGGATATATAGATTTGAGCTGTGACTTCTAGAACTCCAACATCCAAAAATTGGTAGTGGTATTTTGTAATTGGGATTTAAAGGCCCATCCATAATTCCATGCTCATTGGAATAATAGCTCATGAATTAATTAATAATGAGTTCTAGAAGTGTTGATGAAGAAATGCATTTTATTAAGTTATTCATGTATTGTCTAGGTTACTATTTATCAGTGTGAAGACAAGGGATCTATCAAGTTAATACAGGCTTATGTTGATGCTGACGTATCCTTACTAAAGATGTACAATTGTTGCCAAAATACCTTGGACTGTACAATTATTTGCCTTCAGCCTAACATTTTTCTCCTTTATTTTTTGACAGTTTTCCCCCTTAGCCCCC